CACAGCCCCCATACACACACACTGCTCCACACACACACATTCCCTCCCCCATACACACACACACACAGTCCCCCATACACACATTGTCCCACACACACTGCCCCCACACACACATACACTGCCATCCATACACACACTGCCCCCACACAGTGGCAGACTAAGGGGGGGCAGAAGGGGCGGTCTGCCCCGGGTGCCACCAGGTAGGGGGGTGCCATAACCCAGGACTGAGGGCTAATGGGGAATGTGTGAGCTGCGCTCCATGGCAGCTGGGGTGTCGCACAGCTCACATGGAGAGACTAATTGCTAAACTAGCTGCACGGATAGAAGGGGCAGACCTATGGCTGTTTGGGGGCGGGTCAATCCGTGAGCAGGGGCGTAGCTTAACACAGCCCTTACCCGCTGCTGTTACTGCTGCACATGGAGGTGCAGCAAGAAGAAATCCCTGCTCCTTCACCTAACAGGCTTCAGCCAGGGAAGGAATTCAGGCCACTCCTCCAGCCCACACTGTCTGTAAGTGTGTGTGTGTGACTGTCTCTCTGTAACTGTGTGTGTGTGTAACTGTATGCCCGTAACTGTGTGTGTGTGTGTGTGTGTGTGTATGTGTAACGATCTGCCTGTAACTGTGTGTGTGTGTGTGTGACTATCTCTCTGTAACTGTGTGTGTGTGTGTGTAACTGTATGCCCGTAACTGTGTGTGTGTGTGTGTGTGTGCCTGTAACTGTGTGTGTGTGTGTGTGTAACTATCTGCTTGTAACTGTGTGTGTGTGTGTGTGTGTGTAACTATCTGCCTGTAACTGTGTGTGTGTGTGTGTGTTTGTAACTATCTGCCTGTAACTGTGTGTGTGTTACTGTCTAACTGTGTGTGTGTAACTGTCTGCCTGTAACTGTGTGTGTGTGTGTGTGTAACTGTGTGCCTGTAACTGTGTGTGTGTATGTTACTGTCTGCCTGTATAACTCTATGTGTGTGCGTGTGTGTGTGTGTGTAACTGTCAGCCTGTAACTGTGTGTATGTGTGTGTGTGTGTTTGTGTGTGTGTGTAACCTTCTGCCAGTAAGTGTGTGTGTGTGTGTAACGGTCTGCCGGTAACTGTGTGTGTGTGACTGTCTGAAACTGTGTGTGTGTGTAACGGTCTGCCTGTAACTGTGTGTGTGTGTAATGGTCTGCTTGTAACTTTGCGTGTGTGTGTGTGTAACTGTCTGCCTGTAACTCTGTGTGTGTAACTGTGTGTATGTGTGTAACTGCCAGTAACTGAGTGTGTGTGTGACTGCCTGTGACTGTGTGTACCTTTCTGACTGTGTCTTTGTGTGACAGTCTGCCTGTGACTGTGTGATGCTGCCTGTAACTTTGTGTGTGGGGCTGTAACTATGTGTATGACTGTCTGCCTTTGATCATGTGTGTGACATGTATATGTGACTGTCTGCCTGTATCAGTGTGCGTGACTGTGTGTTACTGCTTGTAACTGACTGTGTGTGTGTGTAACTCTCTACCTGTAACTGTGTGTATGACTGCCTGTGACTATATGTGTGACTGTCTGCATGTGACTGTCTGCTTGTAACTGTGACTGTCTGCCTGTAACAGTGTGTGAGGGGGTGTAGGGATTTTGTAGAAGAGGGCAGAGGTTCTAAAAAGTTTACAAATTTGTGTAATACATCTTTAAAAATGTAAAAACTAACACATTTTAAAAACTTAGTAGGTGTTTATTTTATTTTTTTGGAGGATGGGGGGGTGCCAAACCCAGGACCCGCCCCGGGTGCCACATGCTCTAGGTACGCCCCTGCCCCCACATATACTGCCCCCATACACACACTTCCCCCACACACACACAGTCCCCCATACACACATTGCCCCACACACACACATACACAGCCCCCCATACACACATTGCCCCACACACACATACACTGCCCCCATATACACACTGCCCCCACACACACATACACTGCCATTCATACACACACCCCCACACACACATACACTGCCATACATACACACACTGCCCCCACACACACACATACACTGCCATCCATACACACACTGCCCCCCACACACACATACAATGCCCCCATACACACACTGCCCACACACACATATACAATCCCCCATACACACACTGGCCACACACACACCATACACATTCACACCCTGCCACACACACACATACACTGCCCCCCATACACACACTGCCCCCACACACACATACAATGCCCCCATACACACACACCACTGCCCCCACACTCACCATACACATTCACACACTGCCCCCATACACACATTGCCCCACACATACACTGCCCCCATACACACACTGCCCCCACACACACCATACACATTCACACACTGCCCCATACACACATTGCCCCCCACACACATACACTGCCCCCCCATACACACACAGCCCCACACAATCACACACTACACGTTTCACACACACTGCACCCCTCACACATTGCACCACTCACACACACACACCACTGCTCCTATGCCCTACTACAGCCCCATATCCCAGCAGACCCCAGGTAAGTTGTCGAGCTGTTCTTAAATGGCTTGATTACTTACTCTGGGAGGGGGTCCGGGCACTCCTGGCACCATAACCACTACACAGAGCTGTAGTGGTTATTGAGCATGATTTTTTTCTTTAAATAATCTCCAACTGCCCCTCCTGAGATAAGGCTCTGGATCCGCCACTGCTTCACACATTGCAATTCAATGCTTCTCTATGAGAAGCATTTTATTGGAAGAGCATTGTGCTTTCCATGCATGTTACATAATTATATGTTGTCTAGGTTGAAAAAAGACTAAAGTTCATCAAGTTCAACTGTGAAGCCCATTTGTTTTATGCTGTTAATCCAAAAGAAGGCAACCCCTTTGTAGCCAATTGTAGCATTTTCCAATTATGTCACAAAAAGGGAAAAATATTCCTTCTTGACTCCTTAATGGTAATCATATTTTCCCTTGGACCAACAACCTGTTTACATACATATCAATTATATCCATGAATATTCTGTTTATGTAAAAAGCATCTAAACCTTTTTTAAATTTATCTAGATAATCTGATAACAAAACCTCAAAATTCCACATCTTTATTGTTTTTATTGTAAAGAACCCTTTCTTGCAGTATCAATGGAATACCTCTTGTCAGTTGTATATCACTGCTAATGAACAGGTTATCACATAATGGTTTGTACTGACCCTGTATAGATTTATATAATGCTATTATATCCCCTCTGAGGTGCTTTTTTTCTAAAGGAAAAAATTCTGTTTTTTCTAGCCTTTCCTAGAAAAGTTTTCCATTCCTCTTACTAGTTTTGTAGCTCACTTCTGTGCTATTTCTAGTTATGCAATAGCCTTCTTTCAGATTAAGGCTCAAAATTGCACTGCATATACAAGGTGGAATTTAACCATTGATTTGCTAAGAGGCAAAATTTATTTGGATCACTTGAATCATAAGCCCTTTTTATAGGCAGTCCGCTATTATATACTGTTACCTTGTTCGTGATCTATAACTGTTCCCAAGTCCTTTTAGTTTAATGTTATCCAAAACATTAAATGAAAATGACTTGGGAACATTTAATGTATAAGTGACTTTTAGGTTCTTTATTGTAAAATGCATTATTTTACATTTATCCGTGTTGAATCTCATCTGCCAATTGCCTGCCCAGTGCCTGAATATGCAAATCTATCAGAATGTTAGCACTTAGAAAATAAGCCCCTAGTGCTTCGACGTGATGCTATGCTGATATTGTACAGAAAAAAGGTGAACCAGGTGGATTACACCACCACCACAGGAATCACACAGTGGAGTGCTAAAGGGAAGTATCTTACCCCTATTTAGTATTTGGCAAATCGGATGACACTTATCCCAGTTGTAAAAATATAAGTGACAACATTGTCTAAAATGAGAGAAGAAAACACATAATAGTGCAGTATGCCAGTGAAATCTGGGTATTGTGCAGAAGGTGATATATATATCCAACTCACATGGTAGTGTCACATATTCATCCGCTTATAGAAATGTGGTTAATGACATTTACTGTCCACACAGGAAAAGTTGTGCCGAGCAGCAACCTAATCCACAGAAGGGTTAATGCTGAGCAGTAATTGTGCAAATGAAACCTGGTGTCATGTATTCATCCACTTAGAGAAAAGTGATTAATGACATTTACTGTCCACACAGGAAAAGTTGTGCCGAGCAGCAACCTAATCCACAGAAGGGTTAATGCTGAGCAGCAATTATGCAAATGAAACCTGGTAACTGACTTTGGGGTCAAAGGCCGGTTACAGCCTATCAGAACTAAAGGAGGGGTATTTAGGCCCAGTTCTCAGCCTGCTCAGTGCCCTGTCGTGGTTTCCCTTGTGGTTGTCTGAGAGCGCGTTCCTGTTTATAGTTTTCTACCTGGTTTTTGACTTTGGCTTTGTTTATTGACTTCTCTATATTCTGGTATCCTGACTCCTGGCTTTCCTCATCGCTGTGTCCCTTTCTGTGTTCCCTGACCTCTGCTAGTATTTTTGACTATTCTTTGTACGTTAAATCCGGCCATTCTAAGGACCGGTAATACGTTACTTATTTGTCATCCGTGCTGTACAGTTCTACGTGCTGGATCAAACAGTAATCCTGACAGGTAGAGAGCCTATAAATCGACTCGAATCTCACTCGCCCAGGTATATATGGTTATACCAAACCTTACTCCAGATCCACCGCTCACAGAAGTTGAGGCATATAAAAATAAAACGAGAAAATAATTCCTAGTGCAGATCTGTTAAATAAAAACAGTGATCAAGATGATAGTGCATAAAGTTGCTTACCTGGAATAGAGCCAGTTATACAAGGCTCTATGTATACCAGCACCTATGTCTTTAAGGGAGGCAAAAGCCCTTCTTTATATGTAGATACAGGAAACAACTTGAAGATCCACTGGATACATATCAGATAACAATTTATTATAAAACAATAAAAAACTACAATAAGTGCAAATATCAAATGTTAAAATCGATGAAGTGGTCTTATTTTGCACTTATTGTAGTTTTTATTATGCTAGTCTCATCACAAGGGATTCTCTTAACATATATACTCTTCCAACATGTAAGCATGAAGGTAATAATCTTCTTCCTTTGCAAATACACAAAATTGTGCACAAGAAGTAGAACCAGAAAATATGTCACAAGTTTATCAACCTCTGCCAGTGCATATACTTTTCTCACTGCTCTCCTTTCACTCAAAGAGCTGATCTCTGCAAATGATTTGATATAGGTGTCACTCTCCTAAAGGGAAAGGAAACAATAAATAACATTAGATAAGAAAGCACACACATATCTATCAACCAAAATACAATGATGATTGCTCTACGATTTATAATCTCTAGGCCTCCAAGCATCTGCCTCAATAATAATCAATATAAGACATAGGAGCACAACAATCACTTGATATAAAAAAATATATACCTTTATTGCAAGTATATCAATGTACATTTAATAGAGATCAGACAGAATTGCAGTCGTAAATATTACACTCCAAAGGTACAAAATGGATAAAAACCTTATGAAGATACCAGAAAAAAAGATAAAGTACAAAGAGTGTAACATGCTAATATAGGACAAAATAAGAGTGCAACACCAAAGACTAATGAGATCCAAAAGTCTAAAAAAAACACTGCTCCCTGTTCTAATTTACCATTCTTGTATCACAATTAATCTGATCACTGCTATTTATTCCTCAGATGCTTCGGGCTTGTCTCTTTCTCTAAAATTGTATATACTCTCCCTAATTTTTTAAAATACTTTTTAACTTGTCCTTCCATTTATAAATGATTTCTCATCCTTGCCCCTCACTTGATTTGTTCAGTTTCCATTATCCTTCACATATATTCTAACTCTAAATTGTCCCCACTATTCCTGGTTACTTACTGCGTTTTATAGTTGTAATGCACGTTCTTCTTTATTACTGGATTGTTTATAGTCTCTGCTCAATCTCGATGCAGGATAAAAACTTAGTGATGGACAGCCATGGGATATAATGTCCTTTCCTTGATCAATGTCCACAGATGCCCTCTAACATCCTTTTGAGTAGGTGCAGTTACCTGCCCGTGAGGGAACATACATATAAATTTGCTCTGTCCCTTCAGTATTACTATCATATCAATAATGCACATCTGAATGTGCAATGTATTATTTTTCTAGATATGTATTTAAAAAAAACTGTGGATAATGGTGGCCTTATGATGGGAAAACTTTATTATATCACTTGGTCTAAAAATCAATACCTGATCTATAAAGGATGTTGTGTGGTAATACTTCTGGTGAATCTGTGTGGGAGAGCCGTGTATTAAGTTAAAGCCTTCAAGTCACAAGCAACAAGTAAAGAGGGACTTTCAGCTCCCTATTTGACTACTGACTGGGTTTTGTGCTTGTTGTATTAATTGGCCTCATTCTCTGTACCAGTTAAAATATTACATTTATCACATTATTTGCAAATTTTATTTCAATATAGTTAGAAATGATCACAGAGGAATATGAAAAAACATTAATTTAAACCATTATACTGAAGTTCTGTACTATAGTTTATTATTTTAATTATATAAACAGAGATTTGTAATGAGTGGTCAAGAATGGTGCATAGGTCACACAGAAATAGTTATCCTATTTAAATGAAATGGAGATGGTTATTTTATGACCCTTCTTTTCTAAACTAAATTTTTAAAGTTTATTATATAAAAGCATGTGTCTTTCATTTCATGTTATTACTGAAGAACAATAAATTATGTAATATTAAGCAAAGGGAAAAATTTTACATTATTCATTTTACATTATTCTTGGCAATCAGAAGACAGTGTATGTGTCTGTATGGCACTATTACTATTACAATGCTAGTTTCCTAAGTAAGACATATTGTTGGTGGAATGTAATTCAAATATCTAAATGAAAAGAACAAGAATTAAGATTTGCATTCATGCTGTTTTTGTAAGAGATATCATGAACCCTGATCCGAACCTTGATCTGAAGTAGAAATCTATTGTAGTGGATTTTATAAAGGATTTGGCGCTGTGTCTAAATCATTTTTTTGAAGGATTGTATGAAGGATTTTGGGCTGCGTCATTTTTCTTCTAGCGAGTGTAAATTTGGTGCCCTTTGGCCAGTTTAATTTTACATTCTACCCTCTCATTCTATGACATTTCTTCACCCCCATTCTATTGTAGTAACATTGAAGAAATATTAAAAGGTAAATTATTATTTGTTTAAAAAAGAAGTAAATTAGGGATAACAACACACGAGAAGGATCTGGGAATTGTTATAGACAACAAACTATGCAACAATATGCAATGTCAATAAAAAGTGGCTAAGGTCAGTAAGGTATTGTCATGCATGAAAAAGGGCATTCATTCTCGGGATGAGAATATCATTTTGCCTTTATATATCACTGGTAAGACCACATCTTGAATATGCTGTGCAATTTTGGGCAGCACTTGTTCTGAAGAAGGATATTATGGCACTAGAAAAAGTGCAGAGGCAGGCTACAAAATTAATAAAATAAATGACCTTCTCACCTGCTGCTCGCACCCGTACGGCCAACTCCGGCTTGCATTACTTCTCACGGGCGGCTCCCTTCCTATGGAATAACCTGCCTACCACCAAAAGACTCTCCCCTAGTCTTCAATAGTTTAAGAAGTGCCTCCCAGCATAACCTCTACCTCACATACCTGTCTCTTGCTCTCTCCTAAAGGGCAGCACTTTACTCTCTTCTCCAGCTGTGCTTCACTCCCACCTTATTAAATTGCTATTTCCTGTCCTAATGTGTTTTATACCCCACCTCCTATAGACTGTAAGCTCATTTGAGCTATCGTTCCTGTAAGTTTTCTTGTAATTGTCCTATTTATAGTTAAATCACCCCTCTCATAATATTGTAAAGCACTATGGAATCTGTTGGTGCTATATAAATGGCAATAATAATAATAATAGTAATAAAACATTTTAGCTATGAAGAAAGGTTAACAAATTTAAACCTCTTTAGTTTAGAAAAATGTTGTGTCAGAGTGGATATGATACATTATACAAATTTATCCAGGGCCAATACAAAACCATTGTGTGGAAACTATTCACAAACAGTACTATACATAGGACACAAGGTCATGCGTTTAGACTGGAAGAAAGAAGATTTAGTCTAAGGCAAAGGAAAAGTTTTTTTTACTGTTAGAACAATAAGGACGTGGCATGCTCTGCCTGAAAAAGTAGTTTTATCAGAATCTGTGCAGATGTTTAAACAACAACTAGATGCATACTTGAAAAACATAATATTCAATGATATAATTCTTCAACTGTAGGTTAATAGCTTCTTGATCAAAGGATACATCTGACTGCCATTCTGGGGTCAAGTGGGAATTTTCTTTCCTAGTTTGCTTCAAACTAGTTTATTTTTGCCTTCTTTTGAATCAACAGCAAAAAACAAATGTGTGGAAGGCTGAACTTGATGGACACATGTCTCTTTTCAGCCTATGTAACTAAGTAAGATAAAAATAATTGCAAGGTTCTTACAAAATATCTTGTCTTTAGACAACCCGTTGCAGTTAGTTATAAAGTGACTAGAGGTTAGTTATTATTATTATTATTGGTATTTATATAGAACCTAATTACAAATTCTAACTAATTCTGCAGTGCTTTACAATATTATGAAAGAGGGGGAAATATACAATAAATGAGACAATTACACAGTGACACAGGAACAATAGGTAGATGAGGGCCCTGCTCAAATGAGCTTACAGGCTAGATGAGGTGGGGTACAAATAGCAGGGCAGCAAGTGTGACAGCCACCAAACAAGGTGGAAAATTAGCAGAGCTGGAGGTGAGAGTGGGTTATGGCTCTTTAGGTGAGCAAGAGACAGATTTGCATAAGTATAAATAAGTTACTCTGGGAGTCCATAAGCTTTTCTGAACAGATGAGTTTTGAGGGACTTCTTAAACAAGGGGAGAGTCTGATGGGGGTAGACAGGTTGTTCCAAAAGAAGGGAGCCGTCTGCAAGAAGTCCTGCAAGCGCAAGTTAGCAGTAAGGGTGCGAGCAGCGTACAGGAGAAGGTCACTGGCAAAGAGGAGAGACCGAGTACGGGTATATCTATGAATCAGGGAAGAAATGTAAGAGGGGCAAGAGTTGGTTAGAGCTTTATAGGTAAGGGTAAGTATTTTGAATTGACACCTATAGGATACAGGAAGCCAGTGTAAGGATTGACAGAGGGGTGAGGTATGAGAGGAACAACGGGTGAGAAAGAGCAGCCTGGTGGCAGCATTCATTACCAATTGTAGCGGGGCAGTTCGGCATTTGGGGAGACCAACTAGGATAGAATTACAGTAGTCCATGATCCATGTGAGAGATTACCAGAGCATGAACAAGCTCCTTGGCAGCATCTTGTGTGAGAAAGGGGCAGATGTGGGCAATATATTTAAGGTGGAATCTGGTGTCATCAGCATACAGATGGAAGCGATTTCCAAAGGAGTTAAGGATTTTGCCAAGAGAGGCAGTATAAAGAGAGAACAGAAGGGGACCAAGAACAGATCATTGGGGGACTCCAACCAAGACAGGGCAAGAGGAGGAGGTGTCATTGCAAAAGGAGACAGTGAACGAATGTTCGGAGCAATAGGAGGAGAACCACGAGAGGACAGTGTCACAGAGACCAAGGGATTGAAGAGTTTGGAGAAGTAGGACATGATGAACAGTGTCAAGGAAGCAGAGAGATCAACAAGAATCAATATGGAGTTATGGCCTCTGGATTTAGCTGTAATTATGTAATTTAGAACATTAATAAGAGCAGTCTCAATAGAGCGGAGGGGGCGAGAGCCAGATTGAAGAGGATCAAAAAGGGAGTTGGAAGTTAGCAAGTGAGTCATACAAGTAAAGACAAGTCTTTCTAGATGTTTTGAGGAAAAAGGAAGCAGGGATATAGGATGATAGTTGGAAGGGGAAGACAGGTCTAGAGATGGCTTTTTTAGGATGGGTAAGACAGTAGCCTGCTTAAGGGGAGCAGGGACAACACCAGATGAAAGAGAGCTTTTTAGGATGTGTGTTAAGGATGGTACAAGACAAGGGGAGAAAGATCTAATAAGGTACTGGATCAAGTGGACAGGTGGTGGGACGAGAGGAGAGGAGAAGCGAAGCCACCTCCTGTTTTGTAGCTGGGGAGAAGGTCTGTAAGGTAGGGAAGGTACGGTCCATGTGTGGTTTGCGAGATGGAAGAGCAAATGTATGTTAATACCATTATTCATGCAGCGCTTTAATGTGGTGAAATTTTTTGTGGAGGTTTTTCACAAAAACAGAAACAGGAGTGAAACTATAATGGGAATGCAAATACAATTGGCTCAGTTTGATTATGTTTGCATGACATTTGAAGTTCCATTGTTATTCAACATGTGTTTCCAGTTAAGCTATTTTGACCTGAAATTTTAAATTCCATGATTAATTTCTGACAATTAGCAGTTTAAGTGTCTAGAAAATACATCTCACAAATCTCATCTCTTTGTTTGCAAGATAGTTATGGTGTCCTGTGTATGAGTAAATATCAATATTTTTAGGTTTAATCAAGGCAATTAAATCTATTATTTTTATTTTCAGATTTATAGGCGCTGTTGGCTAGTTTTTAAGAAAGCCTCAAGTAAAGGTCCTAGAAGACTGGAAAAGTTTCCTGATGAGAAGGCAGCCTTTTTTCGGACTTTTCACAAGGTATTTGTTTATTTTTATACTAAGGTAGCTAGTCACTAAAAAGTTTTGGTGCAGAGGTCTAATAAAAATTGCAGCACTGTTAATCTGAATTCTTCTACCTGTTATCTTGGACTATATTGTCCAAGGTTGCAATCAATTTATCTTAAATTGCTGTTAATTGAATAATACTATATGACTATTATAAAGAGCAATTTTGGGTAATATGACCATAAAAACCAATTATCACCAAGTATCTTTTACATAAGTATACTATAGGCACCATAACCACTTCAGCAGATTGAAGCTGTTGTAAAACATGGTGTCCATGAGCACCAGGTCAGGCATTTACTCGCTAATTAGTAGAGAGTCTTGGTCCTTGGCAACTTGGAGCCCAGTCTCCAATATCAAAATGGTGGAGGCAGAGCTTTGCTTATGCTGTTCCAATCATTGAGCTAGGTTAACTCTCTCTCTCTATATATATATATATATATAATGAAAATTATAAAAATTACAAGTGATTGTTCTCAACATGGCCCCTTTTAATGGAACCCTCCAAGCACCAAAACCACAACCGCGCTCTGGTTCTCCCCCTTTTGCTTGTAAGCAGTCTAACCTTTTTATCATGGTTTGACTTCTTACCTGGGGTCTAGTGTGTGCTGCTGCCCATCTGCACTACTGCTGACCAAGAGCTGGAAGCCCCTAAGCATTGCTAGGTCTTTGGATGAGAGCATCAGCTGATGCTCTCTGTCAGAAGTAGTTGAGACAGAAAGTGACAAATGGTTAACCCCAGGGAAGAAATCAAGCAATTTTCAAACAGTTTATACTAGTAATATACTAGTTACAATGGGGGGTTACACTGTGCACTGTAGTGATGTTGCTCAGAGTGTTTCTTTAGGAAAAATGCTATAAAACTAGCCGTGATGAGAAAAACATAAAATATAATGTATTTAAAGCGGCACTGTCATGCCGAAACCCGTTTTTTTTTTAACCCCCCTCCCGCCTCCACTACATCCAATTGACCCACTAGTCACCCCCAAATGCCCCTAAGCCCCCCACATTACCTATTTTTTAATCCTTATTTTCTGCCCCGATCTTGATTCAGGGCGCCGCCATCTTTGTGTGGGTAGAGGAAGTCCCTGTGGGACACGTCATCTGCCCACACTAGGCAGACACTGAGATTCCCGCACATGCCCAGTGAAACACCTGGACATGCGAACGGGAATTTCAGCTATTCATTCATTCATCAGACAGACGAATGAGTGAATAGAAAGATCAGCCGAACAAACAAACACAATGTATCAGTGTTAGTTTGTTCGTGCAGGTTATTACAAGGAGGGAGCTACCGGCGTGCAGCTCCCTCCTTGTAATATGTAACTATAGAAGCGGCAGGGAGCAGTGCTCCCCACCACTTCATAAGCCCCCCAGTACCCCCTCTCACTCTATGGGGGTCAATATGACCCCCATAATAGCACAAGAGAGATTTAAATCTCCCAAATGCCCCTACTCACTATACCGCGAGTAGGGGCATGTCTACTAAACAGTGAGCAGCCTGTGGCTGCTCACTGTTGAAAAAAAAAGACATAAATTACAATAAGGGGGGGCGGACCTATTGTCCTCCCCCCCTCCCCCACCCTGAGCGGCGGGTGGGGGCCATAAAGATAATGGGGGGGGACCTACTGTCTCTGGCCCCCACCCCCTGAGCGGGTGGGTGGGGGCCCTAATAAAACAATAAGGGGGGGACCTACGTCCTCCCCCCCTGGCCCCCACCCCTGCGCGGTGGGTGGGGGCCCTAATAAAACCATAAGGGGGGGACCTACTGTCCTCCCCCCCTGGCCCCCACCCCTGCGCGGTGGGTGGGGGCCCTAATAAAACCATAAGGGGGGGACCTACTTCCCTCCCCTGGCCCCCCACCCCCGCGCTGCGGGTGGGGCCCCACAAAACCATGCTAAGGGACTCCCACACCCTGGCCTCCCACCCCCGCGCCGGGTGGGTGGGGCCCTAATAAACTATAAGGGGACCAACTCTTCCCCCGCCCCCACCCCTGAGCCGGGCGTGTGTGGCCCTAAATAAAGATAGGGGGGGAAATTCTGTCCCCCCCGGCCCCCACCCCTGCGCGGTGGGTAGGGGCCCTAATAAAACCATAAGGGGGGGGATCTACTGTCCTCCCCCCCTGGCCCCCACCCCTGAGCGGTGGGTGGGGGCCCT